TTCCACACCTCTACTTCCCTCATCTGCTCCGCTCTACAAGTGCTGTTCTTTTCACTGGACAAGAGTCACTATGTCACTTCAAGTAGAAAATTAAGAAGTTGTCTCCTCATGCAAGGGAAACAAAAGAAAAAATAAACAAATGGAACTACATCAAACTAAAAAGCTTGTGCACAGCAAAGGAAACCATCAACAAAACAAAAAGACAACCTACCAGTTGGGAGAAGATATTTGCAAATCACATATTCAATAAAGGGTTAATATCTAAAATATATAAAGAACACATACATCTCAACAACAAAAAAGCAAACAACCCTATCAAAAAATGGGCAGAGGGTCTGAACAGATATTTTTCCAAAGAAGCTACACAGATGGCCAACAGGCATATGAAAAGATGCTCAACATCACTAATCATGAGGGAAATGCAAATCAAAACTACACTAAGATATCACCTTACACCTGTTAGAATGGCTATAATCAACAAGACAAAAAATAACAAACGTTGGAGAGGATGTGGAGAAAAGGGAACCCTCATACACTGCTGGTGGGAATGCAAACTGGTGCAGCCACTATGGAAAACAGAATGGAGATTTCTCAAAAAATTAACAATAGAAATACCATATGACCCAGCTATCCCACTACTGGGTATTTATCCAAAGAACTTGAAATCAACAATTCAAAGAGACTTATGCACCCTATGTTCATTGCAGCATTATTCACAATAGCCAAGATGTGGAAGCAACCCAAGTGCCCATCAACTGATGAACAGATAAAGAAGATGTGGTATATATATATACAATGTAATATTTCTCAGCCATAAAAAAGATGAAATCTTGCTGTTTGCAACAACATGGAGGGACCTTGAGAGTATTATGCTAAGTGAAATAATCAGATGGAGAAAAATAATTACTTCACATATGACTTCGCTCATATGTGGAAGATGAACAAACAAACATATAGATAGGGAGAACATAATTGGTTACCAGAGGGGAAGGGGGTCATGTGTACGGTGACAGATGGAAACTAGACTTTTGGTGGTGAACACGATGTAGTCTATATAGAAGTCAAAATATAATGATGTACACCTGAAATTAATGTTATAAACCAATGTTACCTCAATTAAAACAAAAGAAGTTGTGCAGATGGCCAAGTTCACCTGTAGCCTAGCTATCTCCTGCTGTATGCCCATCCTTCAGGGAGAATGGAGTGGGCTTCAAATTCTTACCTCAGAAAAATTACACGACTACATGTTTTAGACCTTCTGAGTTCCCTGGGAATATTAAATCCATTCATACCAGAGTTCTTCTGAACTTATGTCTTTTGGTTTAATGTTCCAGTGTTAACATATACTTGTTTTAATGATTTCAGGTGAATATTTTGGTCTGTGGTCTTACAAACATTTATCGGAATGTTGATTTGATCTCAGTAAATTGGGATTAAACTATTTTATTCTTATAGGAATATATTTTCCCTGTGCATTAACCAAGAGGCTGGATACTGCCGCTTACTCCAGACCACTTAGTGATTTAGCACCACTTAGCAGAGTACCTGGCAAACAGAGTACACACAAGATAAATGTCACTAATGAATGACTGTCTTTCACTTTAGTTTAGAAATATTCAGAGGGGATCTGATATGTTCTCAGGCCATATATCCCAAATCTTAAAACCCAATTCTTAATTCTGAATTACCAAGGAACCCTCTAATAAAACCACCAACAGAACTTGAAGAAACAATTTCTAGTGTCATCCACTCCATGTCTGAGTCAACAGTAAAACTATTAACCAAACAGCTTTAGACCTCTGATTTCTACAGCCAAATGACCATGGTTAACTAACAATTACTGCATACACTGAGCACAATGATTGGTTAAGTTGAATAAGTGGATTGGTTAGCATTTTTGTTGTTGTTGCAAGAAATAGAAACCCAACACACTAGCTTAAGTTAAAAAAAAGAGAGGGACACCTAGTAGCTCTCATAGCTTGAAAAGCTACAAGGAGAGCTCTCAGAATCAAAGGAAGAGCTGCAGGAATGAGAAGTCTTGGGGCCTCAGAGTCTCCTGAAGTTTCTCTCTTCCTGTCTCTCATCTCTCAGTGTCTCTACTCATCTTCCTCCCTTGCTTCTCCTGTGGACAGGCTCTCTCCACATACAGAGCACCTCCACCTTGGCATCCCCAGCTACGTGAGAACACTTTTTTCTCTCATACAACAGTCCCAGGGAACGACTCTAACTGGTCCTGCTTGGGTCACATGCCCATTCTCTGGATCCAACACTGTTTACAACAGGAAAAGATACTATGATTGGCTAGGCCTAGGTCATGTGATCGCTCTTTTGGCCCTATTTCCAGAAGGGTCATGGGAAACCTTACAAGGCAGAAAAAGACTGTTACCATGGCCCATTACACTGAACTATCCAAAAAAGTAATTCTAATAATAATGTGAGATCAGATATCTTGTGATTTAATATGTATGACTATATATACTGCATCAAGCACTATTCTAAGCAGGAACAAATATATGCAAGGGTAGAAAAACCCTCCTCCTCCATGTGTAATTTGTCCAAAATATCAGTGTAAAAAATACGTCATTCAACAATCAAATCCCATGGTCTGTGAACACCATCATTAGCGATGTCATCTTTTGTCTTATGGAATTGAAGCTGAAGGTTAAGCAAATGACCTCTAAAGTCTCTTCCAGTCTATGAGTCTATGAACCCCCTGTTCGAATAAAAATACCTCTGCAAGGCTAGTACAGCAACCTATTATATTATTGGACAGTGTTATGGGCTAAATCGTGTGTTCCCCTTCCAAATTCATCTGTTAAAGCCCTAACCTCCAGCACCTCAGAATATAACCTTATTTGGAGATAGAGTCTTTAAATATTATGATTAAATGAGGTCATCTGAGTGGGTCCTAATCCAATTTGACTGGTGTTCTTATAAGAAAAGGAGATCAAGACACAGACACACAGAGAGAAGATCATGGGAGGACACAGAGAAAACACAGCCATCTACAAGCCAAGGTGAAACCAATCTGCCAACACCTTCATCTCAGACTTCCAGCCTCCAGAACTGTGAGAAAATAAATTTCTGTTGTTTAAGCCACCCAGTCTGTGGTAGTTTATTATGGCAGCCTGAGCAAATTAATACAGACAGTAAACCGAGAATTTCACAGAGGACTGAGGCACAGCTGAGATAAATCTGATATGAGGGATGGAGAGAACAAGAGATTCTTTTAAGGTTCTTTTTAAGGTAGAATTCCCCCTGAGATTCAGGGGCTAGGACTGGTGACCTAATTAACTGAGGCATGTTGGTAAATATGTGATAAAATGGGTAAGAAGTTAAGAGAAGTAAGGAGAGAGAAGCAGATGATAGACTTCACCCTCTTCAAAATTTTGCCTGGGCTAAGCATAAGGTGTTTCTATGAACGCCTGGCATTAAGGTTGGCCAGGCCAAAGGCCACATACGCAACCTTGGGAGCCGTGAGGAGCCTGTCTCCTACATGACTTCAGGCTTGCCTGGGCTCCTGATACCTGTCTTCACTGAGAATTCTGTAGCTCTCAGCATCCTATCTTGACGCTTGGCTTTGGGAACCAGCTGAACGGCTGCTCCAGTAGGATCAAAGTCTTACCAGCACGAGCTCCTGGCCATCACCACCTTATTTATGATGTTCACCAGTCAGGCTTTGCTGCTGAGCCAAGCCTGCCTAAGCTGTTAGGCCTGCCGTTCTCATGTGATATGACAGTCTTGTAGTCCACACTAGGTGACATCTGAACCTTCTGATTACAGTATTCTTGCCCTACCAGTCCTCTACCTCCCCTGCCCCACACCTCACTGCTCTTGCACCAGGGACTCCTCCCCGCCAGATCAAATCAGACTTCACAATAATGGAAAGCCTGCCTCTGGCCTCCTTCCCAGGCCCTCACCCACCCTGGTGGATCTGCCTGGATCCTGGACTTGCCTTACCCTGGCTCATTGATTATTTTGCCTTAGCTCTGACCTTTGCCCTCTGGCAAATGACCCTGGCATTGGGTGGCTCTTAGAACCAGAATTCAGGACCCACCAACCTGTGCTGCTGGAGTCATAGTAAGGTTCCACCACAAAGCACAATGAACATTTGGAAAAACACATCCCTTCATCAGGAAACAGCCCACACGGCATACCTCTTACACAAAAACCTGACACCAAAGGGAATATATTTTTGTTAAATAGACTGATCGCTAAACGAACAGGGTTTGTGAAAATCACATCTATTATACAGGACTTTTCAGTTCATAAGCCTCATAATATAAGATCATCGCGTTGGCAAAGCAGTGCTTGTGATGCTGTTCCAGAGTGAAATCTGGAAATTGCTCCATTATTGACTATTACAATGATATTTGCCAACATGGGATTTTTGCTTGTGTGCGCATTCAAATAAAATTTCTGGCCACCATTGTTTATAGCTCTAATATATTAATATCTCCATAGGACAAATTCCAAAGAAGACAAATGAAATATTTAAATAACCCAAGCATTGTGGACCCACTGAAGACTGCATTTTACCTTTATATTCTTTTTTTTTTAATCACCCACAGACACTTAAAAAAAAAAACCTGATAATGTCAAAAGATGACAAAGGCTAAATTCGGGGAAATAAAGGAACCATAAATCAGGAAAACTTTGGAGCTGCTAGAAAGACACTTTAATTTGGTAGACAAAAGACTGCATTCAGGAGGAATAATGCAATAATCAAAGGTGAACGAATCTCTATTGTCTGGCGTCTTTCTCTGTGGGAATTTTCCCACCCCCGACAGCTGTAAAGGGGGAGGGGCGCCGACTGGGGCTGCGCCTTTATTCTCTCAGCCTCTCTCTCGCCAGCCCCTCCTCTTCCTCGTCAATAAATGTCTGCAATCATATTCTTGAGCTCCTGTGTGATTTCAAGGTTCATCTCTTCCATGCAGCTCAAACACTAATTATCCCAGCTGTAATTAGTAAGATAATTAAATACTGGCTCCCTCATCTACCTTGGGTCGGGTCGTGATTCTCCCAGAAGACCTTGAGCAGTTCCTCAAAGCTGATGCGTTCTGGCTGGTACACCACTCGGACTACTTCTGCATGGCCGGTTTTTCCTTGAAAAGAAACAGAACGTACAACCAAGATTTACTGACAACATCCCTTTATGACAAGTTATGCATTTCAAAAAACAAAAGCACTAGACAAAGGCTAAAATTCTTTCCTCTGAAGGAAGGGTGAGAGCGTAATTATACTTGAGCTCACAGTTTCACCCTGTCTCTGTCACTGGTTCTTTTTCCATGAACGCATACAGGTGTCCTCTAGGAAGCTTCCTGAGGATAATTTCTCTTCATTGTGCTCTAATTTTTTTTTTTAATTTCATGAGAAAACAATCTCGGGTTTTCATTTTTATAATCTCACCCTTAGGAAACCTTATGGATCCAAGTTGACATAGTGCTTGAGATGTGAAACTCTGGAAAGGGGACTGAGCCAATTTACTTTTATCATTGCCCCATGCTATGTGTAGTGAGCTTAGCTGCACTGCAGAGGGAGATGGTGCCAGACAGAGTAACCTGTAAAGAACAGGCTATACCTCGCTCACATTAGATAAATCCGTTAATGGTGGGCTATATTTGCTGTGCTGTTAACACTGAGGCAAGGGTCAGGTTCACACACCCAGCAGGGTGGTAAGTGTCTTCTCAGCCTAACTCGTCTCTGTGGTAAACAACTACTGTAGCAAATGTCTCTGCAGCACCCACTGTTGGCACACTCATTCTCAAAGGTGGTCCCCAAGGTTCTGTGGATCAGGAAGCAGGTATTTGCACTGCTGCATGTACCTATGGAATTCATGCCCTTCCTTATTTTACAGTGTTAGAACATGGTAAATAACAGACCATGCTAACAATACCTCTATATTTAAATTTGTTTTCCATCTCTTTTCAGTCACCTTATGTGTAGTGAACAATTTAGCTTTGTCCAAAGAGATATCTGGCCTTTGCCTTGGCCTCTGGAAGGCAACCTATGTCATACTTGATAGCAGAGTCCTTCTTTGGGATAGGGCCTTGGCCTCTGGAAGGCAACCTATGTCATACTTGATAGCGGAGTCCTTCTTTGGGATAGGGCCGGCCACACTAACAGTCTAGGGTGGGGGCTGGCCACAGTGAACCTTAGGATAGGGTTGGACATACCCAACAGTGTTAGGATTGGGGCTGGCTATGCCAGAAAGAGCAACCATGTGACTGAGGGTGGGGGCTTTGGGTGACACAGTATCAGCTGACCTGGAGACGGAGATCAATGATGCAGGCAATCAATCATGCCTATGTAATGAAGCCCCAGTAAAAACTCTGGACACCAAAGCTTGGGCGAGCTTCCTGGTTGGCAGTACTCTGCATATTGTCACACATGAATGCCAGGAGGATAACACATCCTGACTGCACAGGAGATGACACAGAAGCTTTGCACTGGAACTCTTCCAGACTCTGCCCTATGCATCTCTTCCTTTGGCTGATTTTGATCTCTATCCTTTCCCTGTAATAAACTGCAACTGTGAGGATAACAGCTCTTAGTGACTTCAGTGAGTCCTTCTAGCAAATTATCAAACCTCACAGTGATTTTGAGAATCCCTTGAACTTACACCTTACTTTGCAAAAGTGTGTTCCCATAACGTTCCCACATGTTAATTCTCACAACCATCCAACAGTGTAGGCAGGGAAGGTAGAAATACTCCATTTTACAAATCAGAAAACTGAGATTCATGGAAGTTAGATTTGCCCAAGGTCATATAGCTAATGAATTTCTGGACCCTAACATGAAAAAATACCTTCTGACTTCTTGTCCAGGATGCTGTCCAATACAACAAAGCAAAGGGAGCAAAGTGAACAAGAATCCAGAAAAGGAAAGAAATCTACTCATTATCTTTAATATTTTTTTAATATTTAAATTTATTTCTGATTGTAGAAACAATAATTTGAAAACAATATGAAGCTTAGAAAATGTGTGGAAGTATAAAAAAGAAAATAAAAATCACCTATACTCCTACTGCATAAGATAAGTACTACCAATTTTTTTTATGCATCTCTTTCTGGATACACACACACACACTGCTACACACAATTTGTTTTATTGTAATCATTGCATCATGTTTTTTCCACTTACCAGCATATTGTGAGTATTTTCCCATATCACTGAAATTTTTAGAAAATACCATTTATAATGATTATATAACACTCCAAAGATGATTGTACTATTACTTATTCAATCATTCCCTGACATTGGGTATTTAGACTGAATCCTATTCTTATCTATGAATGTGAATATTTGTCCACATTTCTGAGGCTGCCTCAAGCCACAGTTATATAAATGGATTTCTAAATCACTGTTTATAAACATTTTTAGGTTTCTTGATACCTAGTGCCAAATTGCTATTCGGTAAAGTTGACTCAATTTTCTCTCCTTATTGGCAGCATATATAAGGACCAATCTCAGTCAGTATTACAATGTTTTTAATCCTTAAAATTTATAGCTGGAAGATAGTATCCTCTCATTTTATTTTCAGTGAATTTAATTATTAGTGAGGTTTTAAAAGAAAGTCATATTTATTAATAATTTTAATTTCTTATTTGCTCTAATTTTTGTAATGTCCTTTATGTTTTTGGGTTAATAATCTTTTTATTAATTAGTCAGTCTACATAATTTTAATTCAAATACTACAGTCATGTAAGTTAGCATCTAAAAAGATTTTATGCTAACAGACATAAAAAGAATGATGAGGGTAACTATGGGGAAAAGATACTTTAAGTACAATGATCATGTTATTGTAAAATCACTTTTGATCTACTTTAAAATCTTATTATTTTGTATTTTGAAATGTTTAAGTGAATGACTTAACTACATAAGAATTAAAACTCTCTGAATATTAAAGATGGCAACAACATGTTACAAACATGACAAATATATTTGGTAAGAAAAGCATAGAAACCACATTAGAAATATAGGCAAAAGATGTAAACAGGCATTACACATAGGAAGAAATAAACGAAAATCAAGACTGAAAAACGTTCAACATTTTTTAGTGATAAAAGCAAATAAATGCATATTGAAACATAAACATACCATCTCTTATTCATTACATTTTGTAAAACTGCTTAAAAGCCTACCTAGTGCTGACGAGGACACTGTGAAACTGGTGCCCTTACTTCGTTGGTGACAGTGTAAGTGACTATACCCTTTTGAAACCCCATTGGTCTACATAGCAAGAGCCACAAAGAGTCAGATTAAGACTAATTCACCTTCACTATGTGATCCAGGAAATCTGTCTCAAAGATATATCCCCAAATAATGGAAAAGACATATACATACACAAAAAAAATCACTCCATCATTATTACAATGGTGGAGCACTATAAGAAATCCTAAAGTCAAACAAAAAAAAGAAACAAATTATAGTATAGCCACATGATGAAATGTCATGTAACCATTAAAATCCAATGTCCTAACCCTAGTAAAAGCTGTTACTATTTACTGAATGGGACAAAATGGTGGGCACTTTACCTACTTGATGTTCTTTAATGCTCCCAACAAATTTTTTCCACTATGGAAAATACACATAACATAAAATTTACCATCTTAACCATCTTTAAGTGTAAAGTTCAGTGTCATTAAGTGCATTCACATTGTTGTGCTACCATCACCACCATCCACCTCCAGAACTTTTTTCATCTTGCAAACTTGAAACTCTGTATCCATTAAACACAAACTCCCCATTTCTCTCCTTCCCCTAGCCTGAGGCAACTACCATTCTACTTCTGTCTCTGTGAATTCGACTACTCTAGGTACTTCATAAAAGTGGAATCATACAGTATTTTTATGTCCTGTGATTGGCTTGTTTCACTTAGCATAATGTCCTCAAGTTTCATCCATGTTGTAGCATGTGTCAGAATTTCCTTCCCTTTTAAGGGTGAACAATATTCCACTGTATGTATATGCCACATTTGATTTATCCATTCATCTGTCAATGGACACTTGGGTTGCTTCCACCTTTTGGCTATTGTGAATAATGCTGCTATGAACACGGGCGTACAAATATTTCTCACAATGTTTAAGAGATGCGGTCCCCATTTTAAAGATGAAGAAACCAAGGCCTCCCACAGTTTTCTCCACACATTGTCCCACAGCCAGTAAGTGGCAGGACCCAGGGAAGAGCCAACCAGGTTGCAATTAGAGGTGAAGCTCGAGTTCATTCTATGACCCCGAGCCAGGCTCCTGAATATAGACACCTGAAGTCACCAGGTGACAACAAATGTCACATAGGCAGTGGCCCAAATGAGAAATCACAGCTGTAGGGTAATTGACATCCAGGCTGTCAAGGTTATTTTCCAGGATTAGGCTCTTCTTTTGTGGCAGCAATATGGGGTCAGGAAAGATTCCTACTCACCAGCAAACATTTTCAGACCTCATCTGAGCACTGACATTATTTGTGGAGAGGTTTAAAGAAGCTTGGTTGTTTAAAAGAAGCTACTACCATTAAAATTCAAGATCCATCTGCATTGACAAACAGTTTGGAGAAGCCCTCGTCAAACTCACCTTTAAGTTTCTTTATTTTATTTCTCCGAAATACAAGAGGCTGTGTAAAAATACACAGTGCAAATGATCAAAAGGATTAAGGGGCTAGGAACCACTTAGACACATGCCCACGCCTCCAGGAGCTCACCAGTGTGCTAGACTAACTTGATTCCCAAGACCAATCTGCAAATACTTTCTGGTGCTTCCAGAGATAAAAGGCTGTATCTTAAAAATACTTCGAGCTGTTTCTTCACGTAACAGTGTGTAAATAGCATGAAAGGTGTGATGTGTAAATGTGTTTGTTAACAATTCACGGCATCACTACAGGTGCTTGAACATTGTTGTTCAAAAATGTCTTGAAAGGAAAAACGAAAAGGATGAATGTCCTCTATGAGCATTTCCCTGTGTTAATTTACCCCGTGACCCCAAAGGAAGGTGAACAAACGCAGAGGGGGAGATTATGGGCAGTCATTCCTTACAAGACAAAACACCCCAGAAGAGACATACAGAAGTGTTCTGGGGGCAGAAAAATCAGGCATTCTGGAGTCATCTGGAGC